ATAATATATTTACAATATATATATAAATAATATTTATGCTTTCATGTATAAAACTTGTAAACTTAATAACAAATATATATAATATATATATTTATATAATTCATTTCTTAATTCGTATGAAATTTATAAGAAATACTTTATCAATATTTAATCAATTCAATCAATCGTTGGTAAAATATTTTCTTTTTCTAACATTTTTAAATAATAAACATCAATTATCATTAGGTTCATAATAAACAATTATAATCTCATCAGCTGTGGATAACTTGAGTGATAGTATTTAATTAAGATATTTTTTTTCGTGTAATTTTTCGTATACCGTACAAAAGTTGAACTTTAATAGAGATATTTTATATTCAAAATTATTTATTTTAGAATTACTTATTTAAATTATATTACTTTCTTATCAATACTAGAATTAAATTCCATTGGCGTATATATATATCATGATTGAATATTATTGTTTGCAATATCAAACACGGTAACTTTTTCGATCAGTTTTCTGTGAATATAATAATTTCTTTCTACATTTCTTCTAGATATATTCTTCTAAATATTTTTTTGAATTTGGATATTTTGCATTTTTATGTTCAATTTATATCATAGTTTTTCAATTGAGTTGGAATTAGCAATTTAGAAGGTCATTTTATAATTTTTAAAGTATTTTCTTTTTTTAACATTTATTCCACGTTTTTTTAATTTTAAATTCACTGATAATTATTTAAAATACTTTCCCACAATTATTAAAAATCTTTGGACAATGTTTTTTCGCGATATTCACATACGGTACATCACTATTTATGTCCACCTTTTCACCATTGCTTAATTTATTCCATATATAAATTGTTATCGCCTTTTCTATTTTTTTCATTGTTGCATTTTTGTTCGTTGTCTGAAAATATGACTTCCAATTTTCATAATGAATTGGATAAAAAGTGGAAGGAGAATAAATTTTAAAACCTTCACATCGAATCATGGACATGTCCTGTAACTGTAGACAAATATTTTTGTATATTTATCTTTGTTCTTATAATTTTAATATTAAATTGATTTGATCGATTTAAAATAAAAATAAATATAATAATTACAAAATAATGATACAATTATTCAAAAAAAACATTAATCTTTATTTTCAATATATCTATATTAGAGTTTAGAATCTGTTTACGATTATATTATAGAATTATAGAATTATAAATATTTTAGAATTTTAATATTATCATGATTTATTTTTAGAGAATCGATTTTAAAGAAAAATTTAATATTAAGAATAACGCTAATCAATGAAAAATTTATCAATAAAAGAATCAAAAAAAGTGAATATCCAAAATTAGAAATCTACTCGTTTATAAGTTATAGCAAAATAATTATCTTTGTGAAATTAATTTATATAAAGAAGTATATTTTTAAATTGAAAATGTAAAATATAATGATGCCATATTTATTTATTATTTATAATAGTGTGTTATAAACAATAATCAAGCAATAATCACAAGCATCGGCTTGTTCCGAAAAAAAAATCATTCGATTCTAGAATTCTTAATGAAACTTGTGAAGTTCATATGAGTTTATAACACGAATGTAATAAAATTTTTTATTTTTAAGTTGAGACATTTTTTAGAGATTTATTAGTGATGAACATGCAAATTTATTTATTTATTTTGTGCTTAATAATTATAAACTGATTTTTTTCGAAAATAATTTATTATTTATTATATATAATTTATTATTATATTAAATTTGTGATAGTTTCTTTAATCGAAGTTTCTGTCTAAAAGAAGATTTTAAGACTTTGCGAATCTTTAAGCATCAACCTCATCACTAAGGACATTCTGCAAATACAGATGGATATAATTGTCAATGTTGTTTTTTGATTCTTGAAATATATAATATATAATAATTGAAATATATAATCTTGAAATATATAATCTTAAAATATATAATAATTGACCAATTAAAAATACTTTAAAAATATAAAACAAATCAAACGGATTTTCCGAATATTGAAAGACAGAAATAAATTAACTAGAAACAAAGCAATATCGATCATCGAAGCAATAGTAATCAACTATCAGTAGCAATATATATCTTATCAATAAATCATAATCATCTCAAGAGATTCTGTATCATTAATTTGGAATAGAATCAAAGCATTATTGATAATATCGATGCAATAAATCAATTCCTTAATATATTGATATATATTGTTGAACACAGTTCTGAACAATTTTTTCCTTTGCATATTATTGCTGTTTGGTTTTAGTTCGCAACGTATTTGCAAAAAAAAATTGTTATTATTATAAAATTTCGTCTATGTGCATGTCTGTTGCGTCATCAAACAATCGCTGTTTATCAATTAAAATATATTTATATAAATATATTACAGCCAATTGGTAAAAATATATATAAATATAAGTTAATATAATTATTCTTTGGATTTTCGAAATGTAAAAATAAAATATAAAAAAAGTTGTGGATGATTAAAAATTACAATGATCAAAATTATGATATTGGTCACATATATTTGTCATTAGTATCTACAATGATAGACAAATGGAAATTATACTTATGTTAAAAAAAGAATGTAATTACATAAAAAATAAGTAATAAATAAAAAAAGATTGTAAATTTTATCGGAATATTGAAAGTAGTTAGAAATGGTATAAATATGAACTAGAAAATCGAAGTTACAAAGAAGATAATGTAAATATTCAAAAATCTATGCGGGTTTCTTTCACGAAAAAATATTAAACAAAAGAAATTATGATTCCTTAAAAAAAATTATCAAGTATGGAAATTTAAATTACTATCTGAATATATATAATTTTTAATAAATATGTATGAATATATAAATGGCATCATTATATTATTAGTTTTAATTTTAAAAGTATAGTTTCTTCATATAAATTAGTTATATCATTACAAAAATAATTATAATTTATGAATGAATATATTTTGATATTTGATATCTGATATCCATTGATGAATTCTTTTGCTAAACTTCTATTAGTATTTTGATTGTTATCGCAAATATTAAAATTTAATTGAGACTAGGGCAAACAAAATTTGATATATAAAATGTTTATTTATTTATTAAATTATTTATTAATTAAGGTTAAATAAAATAACATAGAGATATAATAAGATGATTATTACTTATAAATATAAAAAAATAAAAAAAATTGTATATAAAATATTCTAGAAGAGAAAACTTAATTAATTAAATGATCTTAAAATGATTTTAAGCTATTTTTTCTTTGCAAAAATTTTCGTTTTAGTAAGTTATTAACGAAAAAAATTGGCTAATCTGTGTAATCTATCACGCCATAAGTGATAATATATTTCGTTAATAAAACTTGAAAAAAAATGACAAAAAATGAAAATTTTTGTGAAGGAAAAAATTGTTTGAAATCACTTTAAAAATTATCAGTTAAGTCTCGTCGATCAAAATACATTTATAGTCTTCTGAAATATATTTATAGTTAATTAAATATTTGGATCATAATATGATATTCTTTTTAAAAGTAATTTTTTGATTAAAAATTAAAATTTTTTTATTCATAATTTTATTATTTTGTTTTAATTTAATTTGTGATGGGATTAAATATTATACTATATATATTATAAATATTATACTATATATATTTATACTATATATATTTATTTTATATTAAATTTTTCTTTGATATTATTCGAAAAATGATTTTAAAATTTAAAATTATTCTAAAAAATTTTTTGAAATAAATATTTTTCATTTTCATTCTTAATTCTAAAATAAATTTTTTAATCAATTTTTTTTATAATGATAAAATATAAATAAAAATATATTTTAAATAGTAATAGTAAAAACTAATTTTAAAGAGTAAAATTAAAACTAATATAGTATATAATTTCAATTTAAAAATAATTTTTACCGCTTTTGGAAAACAAAATTTCATTAGCAAATATTTCATTGTTCAATGGTGTTAAGTATTATTTCACTTACTTATAAATAAGACTTAATCCACATTTTTATATCAATTCTAGCGTTTATTTTAAAAACCGAAAGCACGAATATTAATAGTTTAAGTATATCAACACAATATTTTTTTTATCAATATTATATTTATATCATATTATATTTACATATATATTTATTTATTATATATTATTATATATATTTATATTATATTATTA